TGCAAAGAGTCGGACACAACTGAGCGACTGAACTCAACTGATTCTTTGACTCCTTAAATAAAGTTCATTTTAAACTTTGATTAGAAATAATTAAATGTTAAAGTTGTATGTGGAAATTAACAAATGCTGTATAACTTCCATGATTCATATACCTTATGCTTTCAGATGCCATAGGTGTCCTTGAGATGTCTGAGCTTAGGTTAGAAAGAGCAGAGTCAGGGAATACTACTAGAGCATAGTACCTAGCTTATAGTAATACAGAGTCAAGAGATGTTTAAGAAAGAAATGGAGAGGGAAGAAAAGAACAGAGGCCTGAGGAGAGAAACCTCTGATTAGTACAGCCACCATCACAAGCTCATCTCTCTGTGCATCGGAAAGTTGTCCAAACACAGCAAAGCCAGCCTGGAGCTTTCAGCTTAGAAGCTTCACTATGAAATATTTTTAACACATTTACAATAAAGACAAGAATGGATGCCGAGGACTTCATTTTATTTTTCTGCTCTTGATTCCAAGTGGATAAAATTAAATAATGGCATAATGCTAGAGTCTTAAACATCAAGGCTGTGCTGCTTGTACACACAAAGAATTCCTCTGATGAGCACTTGTGCCAGGCAACACAACAGCAAACCATCATCCTGCCCAGAACTTTGTTGTCAAGTCTTCAGATGCTGCTACATTCGGTAACTCCCTAGAAAACAGTAAATGAAAAGTGGAAAAATGACAATTCTCTTCAGTCGAAAGAAAACAATGAATTTCTGAATTTAATATACTAGAACATCCTTTAATACCATGACATGATAGCTTCCACCTTTATGTCCCTAGTGCTTACTGTGGTGCCTTATATGTAGGAGGTGCTTTATAAATCATTGTTGAAGTGGATTAATTGTATTGAATAGTGGAATTTATTTGGCATGTTTCCCAGTTATTCTATCTCCTATTTACCCCTGATATTATTTATTTCTTACACTTGTGTGTGGACTGGCATGTTTTCTATGTTTCCTGTCACAAACCTCAGTAATAAAGAAAAGAAGAAAAGAAAAGGAAGAGGTAGGATGAAAGCAGAAGGGAGAAAAAAGATGGAGGAGAGAAAGACAAAGGAGAGTAGGGAAGGAAAGGGAACTGAAGCTTTGGACAGGGTTCCTGAGGAAGAATTGGTGGAGAAGAGAATGAACTAAGGGTGATTAAAATTTCTCTCTCAACATTCTTCCACCCATGGATTGAGCCATGCTAGTTCACTCCACTTATCAACATCTTCAAATTTCCCTGTCTCTTTCATGTTCAGTAAAAGAAAAAAAAAAATCTCCATTGTAAGCTTCTACTAAAAAAAATCTGAATACACTTGTATCCTTTAAATGTCAATATCTTCACCTCCCAATTCCTTTGATTATTTTTGTATTCTTAACATAAAACTGATATTAAATAGGCTGGCCTCGGTGACATGGAAAACACAAGTTTCCCAAGCCTGACTGATTAGGTTAGAATGCTGTATTCAGCACAAGCTAAATACCATTCAGCAATGGAATGCTGTGAACAAATGCTACTAGCCTTTAAAAGATTGAAGCACAGTGTATTAGACTGGATTTGAATTTCCTTTCTACTTTTAATATTTGTCTATCTTTAATGAGAAAACTGTTGAAATTTTGGTGACACAAATGAAGTGTGATATGGGGTCCTTGGAGGAATTCAAGATGACAGAGACAAAAATGATTACAGATTAGTGAAACGAGTACCAGTATGAAACCCCAAAGGAGCTGAGATTACATGTCTTAAAGAAAAAAAATGTATGAAGGGTTGGTTAATCTTTAAGATATTATTGGATATTGTAGGACTGATGGTGATTGTTTTCTGTTCCTATCAAGGGAAGAACAAGTGTTTTATTATCAACCAAAATGATTAAATGATTAAAAGAATCTTTTAACTCAAAGGTTAGTGAAACCCTAGACCATATTACTATACCCTGCTATTCAAGGAAACAAACTTACTTTTGGGTCACAGTCTAATTTCATATTCTACAGCCTCTGAAGTAGAATGTCAGCATGTGGCTTTTTTATTTAGCCATGTTATATAGAGTTTGCCTTCCTCTAGGATGAGGAATTCATACAGTTAAACTAACGATAACATCCAGCTAACTTACTGCATCCAGCTTACCACAGTATAATTGAGAAAAGTGAATTTTATAAATCCAATCACTTTCATTCTCAGGCCAGTCAGCCAGTTCTTAGCCTGAGTTCTTAAGGATACTGCATCTTGTTATACTCTAGATGTAATTCTAGTTTTTGGTAACAACTGAGCGCCAAGTTACATGTTCCTCTGGGTTTCATTCCCAAAAATCTTTTAACAAGTCTCCCTCAAATCAATTTTCTTACTTAAAATACCCACCACAGCTAATTATCTTCCTACTTATCTGTACAGATTGTTATTATTTTCATTCACTGTTTTTCTGTTATGTTCTGTTGCTGGTCAAGCTCATAAATTTCACATTTAGAAACCCAAATTTTCATCAGTATGTTTCAGCTAACTCAATGAATGGGAGAGCAATTCACAACTAATGGGGAAGCAGGAAAATCCATCAAAATGATTGGCATTCTCAAGTCTCCGTCTTTTTCCCAGCTTTATCTTAGGTCCTCATGTTACTCTATTCCAGTTAGGCTCCATGATTTTAACTATTACTTATTCACTGATAACTATATATGTTCAGCTTATCTCTTGAGTTCCTGATTTAAACATCCAAATGAATGTTTCAATTTGTACTATATCTCAAATCCAACTTGTCCAAATTTGAATGTCATAGCCTTCTCAACCCAGTTCTCTAAATCATAAACTTGGTTGTCATTTTGAATTCATTTGCCTTTTGCCAACCTATATAAAAAAAATCACCAATTTCCATCAATTAAACTTCCTTAATAGTTTTCAAATACATACTCTTCTCCCCATCTTCAGCATTATTATTTTAAATCATTATTACAGTCTTTTGCCAGGACTTCCTGGTCCAGATGTATCTATATCTGCATTTATTCTTATCTCAACACATTTCATTCATTCAACAACAACAAAAACAAAAAACTCCTCAGAGGCCTACTACATGCCTAGCTCTTCATTCACTGTTTAAAAGGAAATATACTATTTTCAGGGATAGTTTGAGATCAGTGGGAGAAATGAACAAAAGTAGACGAAGGCAGTGAAGCCACTTAACATCAGTTTCCTGTTTTAATTAAAAAGAAAATCACAACTTTCTAGTGAAAGAAATGGGAAAGGAGAGGACTAAGAAAGTAATATATGCCTTATTTTCACTGAAGTCTGAAGCAATCAGAAAACACAAGCTACGGGTGCTGTAATAGCCTGAGGGGGAGATGGTATTGATGTTGTTATTGCTTCATCTATACTGAGAATGAAGGTGAGTGATTAAGCTATGAGGGAGAAGCAATAACTTGACCCAGGTTTTGATAGGTAGGGCTGGGTGCCCCCCCAGAAACCAGATTATAGTTTTCTGCTATATTAAATTAGCAGTGCTGAGCATAGTGCACCTGTTTTCCACATCTTGATCTGCCTAACAATTTGCTTTTTACATTCTGGAGACTGCATTCCATAGAAGCACCTGATTAAGTGAGCAATGAGCAAAATTAGATAATGATACAGTACCCAAATGAGTCAGTAAGAATTCAACTGAGCCACAGTCTAAGCCTGAGGAAAACTGTTTGCAATAACCCATGTTTATGAGGAAATGGGAAGGGCTAGGAAGCATAATGTAATCAATGTTCAATGTTATTGTGTTGGTTCAGACAGCAAAACCTTACTAAAGGTGTCAGAAATTTCATCAAACTTGGCATGAACTTAGTGCACCATCTTGATTCTACCCAGTGGATTCTGTAGAACCATAAAACATGGAGCTGAAACAAGCCTCTGACAGTCTGGTCCAGTACTTTCACTTTACAGGTGAAGAAATCAAAGCCTAAAGAGATTAAGAAAGTATGTATCTGAAAATTACTTTTTATGTCCTCCTTCAGTGGTCTGGGTGAGCAAAAATTACCTCCTTACAGTTCAAATGCTCTAATCTTAGTTGAGGTCATCAGGATAGCACAATCCACTAAACCTGTCGGGTCAGGAATCACTGATTTCTCTGTCCACACCATAAAGGCTACATTTTCAAGTTGCTTAAAAAAAAAGCAGAAGAACATGGCTGAGATTGTTTTTAATAGTTGCATCACTGATTTCTGATCCCAGTGTATTTTCTTTGGAAATTTCAGCTGTCTCTTAGAAGGTCTGTAAAAGGTTTTATTTGGTTGCCCTGAATATTTTATTTCATGATTTTATTTCACTGTGACCTTCACAGATTCATGTATTTATCTGACATACTCTTTTTCAGCTGTTCTTTCCAAGTAACAAAGACTAACTAGGTTAAAACATTTAGAGGTAAACACTGGGTCAGGAAGATCCCCTGCAGAAGGAAATGGCAACCCACTCCAGTATTCTTGCCTGGAGAATTCCATGGACAAAGGAGACTGGTGGGCTACAGTCCCTGGGATTGCAAAGAGTCAGAAAGACTGAGCAACTAACACACACACACTGCCTCAAAGGGGCTTCCCAGGTGGTGCTAGTGGTAAAGAACCTGCTGCAAATGCACGAGACCTAAGAGACTTGGGTTCAATCCTTGGGTCAGGAAGTTCCCCTGAAGGAGGGCATGGCAACCCACTCCAGTATTCTTTCCTAGATAATACCATGGACAGAGCAGCCTGGTGAGCTATAGTCAGTCTATAGCGTCACAAAGAATTGGACATGACTGAAGTGATTAAGCACACACAAACACACTGCCTCAAAAACATGAAAAATTTACCAGATATATTTAACATAGTGATTTGTACATACACACAGACACACACACACACACACACACAGCCTCACTATTTAGCATTCATCTTTAATATTTGTAAATATATGGTGATAATTATAGGAAACTATCCATGTTCTACTTCTCTTAGACTATAATGATATACTTGCAGGTGATTGAGAAACAAAGGCTCTCTTATCATTTTTCTTCTTCTTTTTTCAAAATATAGCCCTGGGAGAAAGATCCAGGTTAATCCTTTCTTGACTGGAGGGCCCAGGACATAAAGAGTCTAGAGTCAGTGGAACACGCAAAGCTCATCCCCGCTGGCAATGAGCTTTAGGGAGTCACTCAAGCCAGAAAAGGCAATGGACTTCAAATTCCGCTGTCTGTCCAGGTAGTGTCCTTTCTGCTGAATCCAGAGAATTCTTGCCAATCTGGACACTCACAGATTGTAGTGTGGAGTTCTGCCCAGGGAAGCTGAACAGCTACCAACTCCTGCTTCACAGAGAACCATCTATACTCCTAAAATTTTTCTCTTGGTCATGAATCACACACACAAACAAATGAAGTCTGAAAGGAAGTTTTACATGTGGTAAAGTAGCCCTGGGAAAAGGTAACAGTTACATGGGTAGGAGAGATGACCTACCAGATGATTTTGAAAAGTACAGACTGGGTCAATCCTAGAAAAACTTTGGGGAGAGGGTAGGTATGTTGGTGCAGAGAGTTGAGATTTACTTGTTATCCTTCCAGCCCAGCCATTATACCTCTTTACTCATTCTTGATACCCTAATAAAATAATTGACAAAAATTTATTAAGCATCAAGCATATATAAGACCAGCTAGATACTTCATGTAACTCTAAAGAGGTATAAAAATAACTCCTGCATGCAAAGAGCTTATTATATTGTTGGGTAGAAAAGACAGGAAGGCAAGGAAAGTGGAATGTGATTAAAAAAAAAAAAAAGAATCCTGCAAAGATTCTATTTCGGGTGAGAGAATCTATAAGAGACAGTGTGTTTCAGAAAAAGAACCACATGACTTGAGCTAGAATTGAAAGACAGTATGGTACAGACACCAGCTGCCACTCAAAATCTATCTTCCTCTTTATCCTTAGTAAAAGAAACCTCCTAACTCTATTTGTATGGAAATCAAGTCAAAAGACATCTCCAGGTGTACTATACACCTGGTTGTAACCATGTGATTAGGTGCTGGCCAATGATATGTAAGCTAAAGTGTTGCATGGACAACTAGAAAGGCTGCTTAAAAGGACATAAATCATTAGGCATCAATTTTATGTGTTCTCCTTTTTTCCTCTGTCTAACCTGAAACTAACATGACAGTTGAGAAGTAGCTGCCATTTTGAACTAAAAAGATAACTTTGAGGATAAGATCCACATTCTGAGATGATGGAGCAAAAGGGGCACAAGACTAAGAATCTGCAGTCTTTTAAAGGTAAAAGTCTACACCCGAAATTCCAAACTATGGTCTTGACCAATCAGAAACACTTTTTTCTCAAAATTGGAAAGGATAAGTCTTTATCTACATATGTTTTAACATAAAAACAGAATAAAATTAATCCTCTATCATTATTGTCATTTCATATCAATAAACATTTTACAATTAAAAAATAAGATTAATCCCATAGCAATCATAAGTTGAATAATTTTAACATTAAGAAAAAATTCACATATTACCCTATTTTTAAAATCTATTTGAGTACGGACCATCATCAATCCTTTGATAGATCAACAGAAGGCTTGGAAATTGTGCTCCAGATTTTAGAAATTTTATTCTAGAGTAGTATCTCCCCTGGAGAAGGAAATGGCAACCCACTCCACTATTCTTGTCTGGAGAATTCCACAGACAGAGGAGCCTGGCGGGCTGCAGTCCATCGGGTCACAGAGAGTCAGATACAACTGAGTGACTAACACACACACACAGAGTATCTCCCCAAATATGACATTTAAAATAAATTTAAGTTGTAAATGCGATGGTTTGGGGTGCTGTGTGAGAAGGTTTCATATCATGCCTAGAACAGGCAATAAATATCATTAAATCAAATAGTTAAAAAGTTATCATGCATTTTTCTGTTTTCTTTCAGCCCTTCCGACTAGAGAGGAAGACTCAATTTGATACTACTCAATCAGTGATCCAATACTAAGGTAATCTTCCAGTTAATAAAGAAATAATGGATATCAATACCAGAGTCTGGAAAAATGCAAGAAAGAATAATTAGTTATAATTTAATTAACATTTCTTTGTTTCCATTATATTTATAGTTGTAGTTATTTTTCTTTTTGTAATAGAAAGTTTACACATTTTAAACAGTGATAAAAGATTCCCTTTTAAAGAAGACAGACATAAAATTCAAGGTTTTTTAAATCTATATAAAAAATATACTAAGTAGCTAATCATATAGTGTTACTTGAATACACTAAAACTGATGAAGATGTTACATGAATGACTGAGAAAATGGAAACAATTATGTGAGGACCATAAAGAGTTATCTGGTCAATGGCTCTATGTCAGAAACCAGGACAGTCACTCAAAATGAAACAACCTAGTTTAACTAGAAGGTTTGGTCTCATCTTTGCGTTCTCTTTGGCATGTCTTTGGCTTTGCTTTTCCTGACTTCCATTACCTTGATCTGGTTAACCTGACCCTAAATCTTACCTATTCTTTATCTGAAGCTCTAATCCATAGTGCTGAAATTATGCCCACTTTAATCCTCCCTTGTGCCACTCTGGGAAGCTATAATAACTGCTGCTGGTGGCTTATTCTATGTGGTAGATGTCTCATTCTGAACCTCTACCCCCACCTTTACTAACATACTCACTACTCTTAGTGAACTCCACCTCCATGCCAGAACTCATTGTCAGTCTGAGACCCAAGAAGTATTATCAGACTTCCACCAAAAATTCAAAAGGACAGGTTATAATTAATGCACTTTTCAGAAAAACGGAGGAAAAAAATGTTTCTATGTTCTTACTGAACTAATCCATTTCAGCTCAGCTTAGTCATTAGTTTCACAAACTAGATATTTTCCTAAAATACTATCTTATAAAAAATTTGATTCTATGGAATGATCATTATACCTTCCAGGAAAATACTCTTTCTAGTAGAGCTTAGAGAAATGCTCACCTTCCTTCTGCTCCATGAAGTCCATCAAAATTTCAAGTTTTCAAATAGATTTCCTTTCAACAGTCTATGTTCTTTTCTCCCATAAAAGTACAGTTCTTTGACTCCAGAATCTCGTACTTATTTTACTAGCTCTTAAATAAATTTAAGAATCAGGCTGTAAGGGTCTTAAAATTTGTCTAATTAACCTTGCATGCAATGTTAAAACTCCTTCTACTAAAAACTTTAATGGGAAATAGTTTTCACTTAAAAATGTATTAAACCACCTGAAAGTCTTATGGCATTAGTTGTTTTTCTAAAAGTGATTAAGATTGCACTGGGATATCTGCATGCTCAGGCTGAGGCTGGTCGGTCCATAAGAGATGGATGGCTAGGGTTGGTGAGATGTGTTATCTGTGGCAATGTAACCATGTTTCTTATTGCAGAACTAACTGACCCATATAAAGATGAATTGCTGATTTGACTTCTTCATCACTTGGAACCAACACTTATCTGGACCAAATACTAACAATTATGGTAGTTAAACAGCTATATGGGAAAGATAGACACCCTGAGATTTAAAAAAAAAAAAAAAAATTCACATTAAGATGGAAACACTTAAATTATTACAAAACTGCAACATTGCATTTTAACAAAACTGCAAGTATTTGGCAAGATCTCCTGGTTTCCATTCAAAAGAGAGTGGAAGTGTATTAACACTTAATGATGCCAGTAATTATGATAGGCATTTTCATCTATTTTACCTTATTTAAGCATAATAAATTATAGAGATTCAATGTGTGAAGTCACTCACTCAAGGTCATATAGCTTAGTAAGCAGTTGATCTGTGATTCAAAAGTTTCACTGTAACTGAGGATCTGACACTTGTCAGAACTCATGGAACTATACTATATAGAGTGAACCCTAAATTTCAGTTCAGTTCAGTTCAGTCACTCAGTCTCTTTTGACTCTTTGCGACCCCATGAACCGTAGCAGGCCTCCCTGTCCATCACCAACTCCCGGAGTTTACCCAAACCCATGTCCATCGAGTCGGTGATGCCATTAAACCACCTCATCCTCTGTCATCCCCTTCTCCTCCTGCTCTGTGAGCCACAATTCCTGAGCCTGCATGCAGCAATTACTGAAGCCCACACACCCTTGAGCCTGTGCTCCCCAATAAAAGAAACCACTGCAATGAGAAACCTGAGCAAAGCAACAGAAGAGTAGCTCCTGCTCATTGCAACTAAAGAAAATCCCATGTGCAGCAACGAAGACCCAGTGCAGTCAAAAATAAATAAATAAATAAAATGTTATAAAAAATAATGTATCAATATTGGTTCATAAATTGTAACAAATATATCATATGAATTCAAGAAGTTAATATTAGGAGAAATTATGAAAGATAAGTAATAGAATTTTCTGTATTTCTCAATTTTTCTGTAAAACCCACTATTGCTATAAAAAGTCATTGATTTTTTAAAAATTTTTTAAATAAATAAAATATTCACACACACACACACATTACCTTATCATTCCTTCTCACACTCTCCCCTAAACTCACTCCAGTCTGGTTTTCCATGGTTCCACCTCTGCATGGACACTGAGAACATCAAGGTCATCTGAGACCTCCATATCCATGTGTGTAATCCTCAATGTTCATCTTACTTCTCTTATGAATAACATCAGACACATTCATCACAACTTCTTTGTTGAAACACCTCACTTTTCTTCCAGGCATCACACTCATTATGCTTGTTTTTGTGTTTGTTTTTTCTCTTCCTTGACCTCTCCTTTTCAGCTTTTGCTGATTTCTTCTTTCCTCTCTGACCTCTTAACATTGAAGGGCCCCAGAATTTAGTCCTTTTGACTTCTTCCCTTTTCTATCTACCTCACTTCCTTTGTAATTTTATTTAATCCAATGACTTTACATTATGCTGGTGATTCTCAATTTTTTTTTAATGTTCAGAGACCTTTTCTTTCTCTAAAATTTAAACTTACATAACTGTTTAACATCTTGTACTAGTTAGGGCTCTCCAGAGTAACAGAACCAAAAGGAAATTTATTATAAGGAATTGGTGAATTGGCTTACATGATTATGGAGGCTGGCAAATTCAAATATGCAGTGTGGGCTGATAGGCAGATAACCAGAGTCAATTGTGCAGATAAGGTCTGAAGGCAGAGAATTCCCTCTTGCTCGGGGAAATCAGTGCTTTCGTTTTATTCCCTTCAACTGATTGGATGAAGCCCACACATTATGGAGGGCAATCTGCTTTATCCAAAGTTTACCAATTTAAATGTTAATCTTGTCCAAAACATTCTCCAAGTAAGCACTTGTAATTAACCTTCACACATCTCAAACATAATTTGACAAATCTCCACTTGTTTTCTTTCCCCAACTCAGGTAATGAGAACTCCATCCTTCTACTTGCATCAGCCAAAAACTATGAAGTCAGTCTTGGTTTGTCCTTTCTCTTACAATTCACATTCAGTTTTTCTTCTCTCCCCCTCCACTGACACTATCCTGGCCCATGCTATTATCATCTTTTTCCACAAGTTTATCAAGAGTCTCTTACTGGTCACTGGATATTTCTCTTACCTTCCCCCTCAGTCTGCATTACTGTTTCTCAAGCTGTATTGTGCATACACATCACCTGGGGATCTTGTTAAAGACAGATTCTGGTTAGAAGATCTGGGGTGGGGCCTGACAGTTTCCATTTCTGACATGCTCCAAGTGATTACCATGTTCCTGGTTCACAGACAACACTTTGAATTAGCAGAAGTCAGAGTGATGCTTTTAAAACATAGTTGAAATCATGTTTCTCTTCTTGCTCAAAATAATCCAACTGTTTTTCCAATTCACTCAGTGTAAAAGCTGTACTCCTTTTAGGGGCCAAGAATCCTAACTGATCCAAACTCTCTGAGTCCTGTCTTTCACCTTCATTTACTACTGTTCTCTCCTTTGCCCATTCTACTTCAGCCACACTGGCGTTCTCAGTGTTCCTGAAGCACTGCAAACAAGATCCTACCCGAGGCCTTTCTACCAGCTTCTCTCTGCCTGGACGGCTCTTCCTCAGCAACTCTTTTAAGTTCTGGCTCAACTGTCACATTATCAGCAAGTCCTACTTTATTATTTAAAATATTTTTATCTTAAGTTGGACTAAAATTGATTTATGATGTTGTGGTAATTCCAGGTGTACAAAAAAGTGATTCAGCTATACATATACATGTATCCATTCTTTTTCAGATTCTTTTCCTATATAGGTTATTACAGATTATTGAGTGGGCTTCCCAGGTGGCACTAGTGGTAAAGAACCTGTCTGCCAATGCAGGAGATGTAAGAGACTTGGGTTCGATCCCTGGGTTGGGAAGATCCCCTGGAGGAGGGCATGGAAATCCACTCCAGTATTCCTGCTTGGAGAATCCCATTGACAGAGGAGCCTGGTAGGCTCCTGGGTTCACGGGGATCACAAAGAGTCAAACACGACTCAGCGATGAACGCACACAGAGTATTGAGTAGAGTTTCCTATGCTATACAGAGTAGATCTGTGTTGATTATCTATTTTATATATAGCACTTGTATGCTGATCCCAACTTACTAATTTATCCTTCCCCTCCACCCTCATGTTTCCCTTTGGTAACCACAAATTTGTTTTCTAGGTTCGTGAGTCTGTTTCTGTTTTGTAGATAAGTTCACCTGTATCATTTTTTTTTAACTTCACATACAAGTGATATCATATGATATTTGTCTTTCTCTGTTTGACTTATTTCACTTGGTATGATAATCTCTAGGTCCATCCATATTGCTGCAAATGGCATTTCATTCTATTTCATGGTTGAGTAATATTTCATTGTATATATGTACCATTTTTTCTTTATCCTTTCATCTGTTGCTGGACATTTAGGTTGCCTCATGTCATAGCTATTGTAAATACTGCCTCAGTGAACACTGGGGTGTGTGTATCTTTTTGAATTATGCCCAGACATATGCCCAGGAGTAGAGTTGCAAAAAACTGAGTCCTACTTTAACTACCCCACTTAGAATTAA